CGTGGGACAGCACTTACTCTATAAAGTTGGCCACGGAGAGTCTCTTCGGGCAGTAGTATTTGACACACTTGCACTCGTTGACTGAAGTCTCCTCCAGCTCCATGATTGGCTCCTGTCCATCAGCGCAAGTAAAATCATAATACTCTTCACATAAAGGCTCACACATGAAGAACGAATAACCTTCACTCGCCACGCATTTGCATTTGTACTGACAATCCTGAAGGACCACCTGTGCTCCTGGGTGGAATTTTTCACCCTCATGCACACAGAAACCTGCCAAGTAAAACCTGTTTAGTTAAAGGAGCTATGTAATGGTATGCACATCTTGAAAAGTTTAGCCTAACTTTTTCAAGTTCGTCGTTTGTAATCCATGTCAATCTTCTCCATTCTTAACCATCCTTGTTCCTTTATCGTTTATTGTTATCTTTTTGGTGGTTTTCTGTCTTAGTAAACTACTATTTTCAGGTTTTCTTCAATTCAAAGGTAATTTTATACCTAGTCAAAATAACTCAAAATACAGTGATTGAGCTCCTTTAATTAAATAACAAGACAGGATTCCGTTGTCCATAATAGTTAAATCGAACTGATTCTTCAAACTTGGAGACACAGAGTTGAAACGGCTCCTTTTTGGGAGCGCACTGTGAAAAGTCTAACTCACTCGACCCAGATGCATTGCGGTTACCAGTAGTTTGCTATTGTTCGAAAACCAATGTGTTTGTTGGGAAGTAATATCCAGGCTTTGCCCTTGTCAAATGTTATTATCGTTTTTGCCTACGAATTAACGGCTGAATACACAGTTTATCTATACCCTTCTCGTTATACTTTGATAACGAGAAAGGCCGGTGTTATGCTATAGATGTGTAACCCAGCCTGACCTTATGCCAATAGTTGAAGTACTACTGGCTTCAAGTGTCACTTGCCTTTTGCTTTAAAATGGACCAAGATTCCTCCTCTCTTCTATGGAATAAGATTTTATGATACGAGAGGATGAGGAATAATATAATTACGACCCAATACAAGTCTTATTCTTAGGGTAACCTCTCTCTCTTTCTTGTGTGACAAGAGCTTTGCTCAGTTGGAGAGTCCTAGCGACTTTACACGCGTGGAAAGCATTTCCACGAAACTCGAGTGATCTATTTATCTGCTGGAGGACTGGGTACCACATCTAAAAATAACTTATGAAGGATTACCTTGAGAATATTAGGGAGTTTAAGAAAACCACGACGGCAGCGGCAACGGGAACGTCGCTAAACAAAAGATTTAATTAGGAAAACAATGGCTGTGTACGTGCGTTATAATTCTTGGGTACATTTCTTTACCGTCCTCGGCAAAACAACAACGTGAAATGATCAAATTCTGCGTTGTCTGGAGAACGTGAACCACGACGGCTAATTTTTTAAAATTTTATTTCAAGTTTATCGCTATGTCCTAGATTCAGTTTCGTGAAAGTTTTGTCAGTGATAAACAAAGTAAATGACTTTAGAGTATCGCGAGATTCGTAGGTAAAATATAAAGTCATTTTTTAATCGACGTTGTCCTTGGCGTCGCCGTCGTGCTTACTTAAACTCCCTATAGTCTATATGGAGCGCGGGCGCGCGCACAGAGGAGAGGGGGGAGGTAACTCTCTTGCCCCTGATACTATTCACTCTTACCATCAGTAGCAGTAATTACGGCTGCTGACGTCATCGAGTAGGCAGTTGCAGCCAATAGGAAGCAAGCTGGCAATATTGAAAACATCGCTATCACGTTGTTCTGCTTTTTGCGCTGCGGGAAAACAAAACAAGTACATATGAGTAGATCACTATATTGATCAGTTAAACTTTAAGTGCTAAATTAATGAATACCACCTTTGAATGGTGAACTTAAAACTTTGTGTGTGTTAGTAGAAAACTCAGTTAAGATTTAAGAGATAAATATTCACAACTTATCAGACCCCCTTCCAAACGCTAACCATAGCCTGTACATCAAAAAAAAAAAACGAAAGACAACGATTAATGAAGAGTGTCAACAACGCTCGCCCAAAGATCATTGACTCAAGTCCCTCACACAATGAAAAAGTCTGAAAAAACAAAAATTCCGTAAGTAAAGTAAAGCTAGTTGAATTGTCAACTCTTGAACTAATATCGATACACCGTTTAGTAAACAGGAGCGGAATCTGGGTGAGTAACAACTTTCAATCAAGGATATATATTATGTTGAGTACAGTCACATTTTAAAACTTACTTTAAAGCTTATATACAAAAGTAGTTAATGATAATTTGAATTTTTACCTGGAGACTAAAACGCGTTAACTAAAACGAATGACTAAAACTTAGAAACCTCTTGTCATTCCTAGTAACAAGCTTGACCGTTGAATTATTATTTGTGATCGTACCGGGGGAGGTAGTGCAACCGCATTCTGTGACTCTCTAGTGCACGTACAATCTCTTCCGAAACACTCCCCGACATACGATTTCATATTATTGCAAGCACACCTAGCCAATAGCTCAAGCACACTTTTCAAATTTTAACGTAATCCGTAGAGTTTCATACGGAACTGAAAACTATCGACCGACTCAATTATTGTTTTTCTTTCCTTCAGAAGTGAAAAGTACATTTCTGCCTTCAACCACTTTAACAAAAATTGTTGATTGCTAAATGAATTCAATCCTAAATTTAAAATTTAAAAAGAGCAAAAAAATAAAAAAATAATTCAAGCGTACAGTGCAAAAGTTATGTGCCAGAACACGCGCTGGTGAAAGCCAGTCAGTACATCTGCTACAGAAAACTGTCAACACCACCGGAGAGATGATGTAATGCAAAAAAAGCAAATGAAATAACTTTCTTCGGCAAAATGTACTGAGTGAAGTAAATAAACCACATTCAAGTCTAAATTTAAGTTTAAATCGTCGCTTGACTTCGCCGCGTATATCAGAGATATAAACTGAGTAGTTTTTTTCAATCTTCTAAAGTAAGGAAAAGCTCAGAATATGCGTAACAAAATTGAGACACAGTAAACAGATTTAGCTGGGAAAAAAAAAAAAAAAAACACACACACACACACACAATAAAATAAGGAAGGGAATAAGAGAAAAAGAAAAGACAGCAACCAACCTAATAGAAAATTCCCGTGTAAGCTGTGATTATCCTATACTGAGAAGGCAAAACGTCAAGCCAGTTTAAAAAAATGCCAAAAAAAGGAGTGCAAAGTGATTTTGTCAATCTTTCGTAAGTATTGGTGACAGTGCGTTTTCAAAGTCGGGTACTTGGTGTCAAATTAGTGATAAGAGCTTTTAAAGAGTATGGAAATATGGCGATAGAAAAATAAGTGCATACAACTTCTTTCAATCTGTTTTCTTTTAACTTCAAAAATATCGCTTGAAAAGATTTATCTTTTGTGGAGCTTGCGTCATGTGTACCGTCCTTACTAATTGCGAGATATTCGGGGAAAAACGAATTCAACCAAATTTGCTATAAAATTTCTTTTTAAAGAAAATTGTTAATTAAAGTAGGAAAATTTGTCGCTGTCTTGATTAAAATAGAAAAATAACATTAATACACTTTCTGCTCACCAATCGAAGGGCTGTCAGTATATGCTTGCATGTAGTTTTATTGTACTTGTGAGGTTTGCAGGTTTTTTGGTTTAAGTTAAACAGTGAATCTTATGTTTAAAAATAGCTACCATTCTTTCGTGTGTTTTTGTGCTATAATTTATGATAAATCAGCTTACTGACGCACGCGTATTGTTTGAAATAATCTGAATCTTTATATTTCCGCCGAGAAACTATTCAAAAGAATCAATAATGGAAAAGCAACTACCGGACATAAATTAGCACGAACAAAAAGAAAGTCAATAAGATCGGGCTCTACAGGAGGATGTTATTAATTAACTGCTTTTTATGTCGCAAGTGGAGCAAACCTTCTTACTGCAATAGGATCTAAGAAAAGTCTCATTTTCTTTGGCATGTTTTCCTTAGAACCCCTCCGGGTTTCAAAGAAAATTAAATAATAATATTCATTTCTAATAGCGGTTTTAACTACGGGTGTCTTGGATATTTACGTCTAACAGTTCTTTCGGTCAGTCACTCTATTTTGTTGGAAAAATAAAATTCGTATGCTCAGCCCTCGAATTAATCCAAAAAAGAAAATCATTTCTCAATACACTCCTGTAGATATAATCAGTTTAATCGAGGATCGTCTTTCTCGCCAATAATTAACAAAAGCATCAGAGAAAGCCGGCACAAAACATAGATTAGCTAGAGAAGAAATCTTTGCTCTTTTCTTGTCTTTTAAAACAATTTTTAATAGCCAGATAATTCTAGGATCTTTTGAAATGCAAATTATGTATATGAGATGAACATTTATCTAAATCACCGACAGCCGCAGTGAATTTTGATAACAAAAAGGCAAAAACAAGGTGAAGAATGTCATGGCTCAACGAGAACTTTAACAGGGCTTTCTCGACCATTTCAAGCAGCTAAAACAGTTCTGGCGTTTTTTTCTTTGCCTTGGGAAGAGATCGTATTGTTTCAAACTAAACAAAATGAAAACACCATGATCAACAGCGTGAGAGTTAGCTGTTAAAGCCAGTAAGCTCTATTGTGGTTCTTAAGATGAATAATAAACTGAATTCAAAACTCTTGTCCGGTTGATGTTAATTAAAAATTTCAATGACGTACTAGGCTTGATCAATTTCTAAATTTAATCCTATCAGCGTTACATATTAACGACTTGCTTTTTGGTCATCAACTTGCATATTAATTGTTCCTACGTTTTGGGTTGCTTATGACAGCATGCTTCGAGCTTTTTAGGTTTATGCACGGAAGGAACATACTGCAGTATAATGAAAACAAGTCGATGGCATGTCAGTTAACTGAAGCGTCAAAAAGGTGGTACGTCACTAATGGCGTATTTTGAAAAATTTAGCGTAATATTTTATATTGGGTTCGTAATCCGCCCAAACGTGACCATCCTGAAACCGTTTTGGTTTAATTTTACCTATTTAGCGTTAGTTAACGTTTCTCTACCTTGGTAAACTGGTATTTCAGGTACAGTTCCTAGTTGAAAGTATTTTTGTACATTGCAAAATAGGGGAAATAATTACAGAAGTATCTAGTTACATCCAGTGTTTTTGATTTCCGGCCGATTCTTATCATTCTGGTGGTATTCGCAATAATTGTTTTCTTTTTCTTTTCGCTTTTGCATTTATTTTTGGTTAGTGCAAGTGCAAAAAATAAATTCAGAGTCTATATTCGAATTTCAAATAACTCCGTTATCGGCTTTGCCTGGCTCACCGCTGTAATGACGCAGTTATGTTATTTTTTTACAGTTGCTATAAAATTACAACGATCATTTTCCTTGAATCTTGCATCTCAACCCCCTCCCACGGTTCCCCGGAAGGGGTACTGCCTGATATGGGCAATATAAGTATGTGCGGACCCAAGGGGTATGGTTTTTTTAGCGGTTTTGGCCTAAAAACGGCGTAGATTTTGAACATTTTGGTTTGAAATAAGATATGTTTTTCACTCGATCTGACATTGGGTAATTTGGTAATTTGGGTAATTTGTTTACAATGAATTTTTTTCCGCATCAACATTGGCAAATTTGTAGGGCGGGCCGAACACCCCCACAAAATCTTTTGGGTAGTACACCCTCCCCTCCCCGTGTAAGAGAGGTAGCGTTAATGTTACACGTTGTCGTGGTTAGTGCATACGGATCATTTGTCAATTTTCCGGTTCAGTTTTAGATGTCCCAAAAACGACTTGTCTGTCTCATTTACCACTGAGGTGTATTACACGCCGATGATTTGTTTTCTTCTAAAAATTGTGAGATTTTTGTGTGTAAACGTATGGGTCAGCGTGGTCAATCATTGCCAACTTTGCCTGTTTTCAGCTAAAGCTTAGTATGCATAATTCAATTATTGGATCAATGTAATACAGTCAGACGGCATTTATAGCTTTTACACGCACCAGATGATATAACTGTGAACTGAATGAAATAATCAGTGAAGGAGAAAACGTATTAAAAACCGACAAGCTTTTTTGCCAAGTTTAATTTAGCGCCTCTCTTGTGATCACTGAACTGATAAGGAATACGGGGTGGTTTGTTTATGTTGTATTTGCCGTCGTTTCTTGAGACATAATACCTTCATGAGCGTCAAGGCCTGAGCAATGTATGATTTTTAGAATATGAACAGGCCAATTCTTCTAAACGAGGAAGGAAATATTTACCACAAAATTATGAACAACACAAGCCGAATTAAATTGAGACCGGAATTGACCCTTTGAGTATAATTATACTACCACTGGAATTTCAAAAATTGTCTAGGGGGCAAGAACTTTCCTTTAAATAACATGGTCATTAAAGAAATATCTCCTACATCGATCTGCTGCAACTGTTGTGTGATTTACAGAGTAATGAGGGTCAACCTTGGGAGCGTTTGATAACAAACGGAAACCAATGGAATCGTTAAAATTGTTTTTAAGGAACTAACGCCCACACAGCTCATACACAAAACAGGAAAACCGTGTCTTCGAGACAAGACTTACCCCACAGCAAGTGGTTCGTGAAGCCAGTTTAGGTTATGACGATGTTGCTGTTTAGGTTTCTTGTCATGATCTTTGCTATGGCCTTGGCTTTCTCCAAGGCTGAGTCAAAATACCTTCATCCGAGACTCAGGGGAATCATTATAGAGAAAAGTTTTGACGAAGCTTCAGGTGAGATACTTTCTGTGCGTTATTTACAAAGATGGTCTGAGGGTGTGCTGAACAGTTATTTTACATCCCAGATCGTTGTTTGAGACATACGATATTTAACGTTATAATTCTTACTCGTTCATATTTTGCTTCTTTTATAAGCGTCAATCTTGGCTAAGCTTGTTCAGCAATTTTAGAAAGATTGCGTAAGAAGTCGTTTTTCAAATCGCCTTTGTGTGTGTTAGCGGTGTTTGTTACCAGAGGCTATTACCTTCTGGGGAGAGGTCAAATAAAGTATTAAGAATTTTAGAGGAACACAGGCGAATAAACAAACCAAGACAAATAACAAAACTAGTCAGCGGATCCGTGAATTTCGTCAATGAAAATTGTAGGCCATTTGTAACACCAGGGAAAGCCTCTTATGAAAATACCGGCGTAATTATTTTTAGCCCATAATCCGGCTCGAAAGCTGATGTTATTAAACATGATTTTTTTTAGGAAATGTGAAATTTGTCGCTAACGCCTTATTCATCAGACGCTTGTTTGTCTTAACTGAGCCTACGTCGGAGACGCCACAGTCTGTTACTGTAGGTTATTAACGGGGAAATTTCCTGCAACGCAGACTAGTACACCCTACTTTCACCTCCGAAAAAGCGCGTTTTTATGTCAGTACTGATGACACTGTATGTCTACTTTCGACGTCAACTAACACATAATTTGACGTTGAATTCATTGCCTTCCTGACTTTTTCTATTTTTATTCTCTTGCAAAAAAGAAATCGCCTTGATTGAAGTGGACATAAAAACTCGTTCGTGACAGACAGAGACGTTCAATACACAACTCAGTGAGTCCGAAGTTCATGCATGCCAAAGGTATTCACAATACAAGCTGACTAGCCTGATTCGCCGCTTCCTCTCGCCTTGAAACAAAAACAAACAGGACGTGGATTTGTGTTTGCAAGTGAACTGTGTCTGTGTCGTACCCAGTCAGACTTCAGTGCGAAAGGAACACTCGAAAGGAACATAGTTGTGAGTTCTTCTTTGGCTCGGAATTCGAAATTTTCGGTTCTCGCGAAAACGTAATACAACGAAAATGACAACACACATTTCACGAGCTAGTAATGACCTCGAAGGCATGATGTTATTTCTCTCAATACGCGTCTATTTAGCTTAACAGCCGGAAATATTATTCATTTGTGGCACCGAGGGCAAAGAAAGATTAACCGATAAGACGGGAATATGGGAGCAAATACTCACGTCCAAGCGCCAGCTTTTTATAGTTACATGAAGAATACATTAATGAAACCTGACAAGCCCTCCAGGCTATCGAAAGCATGTTTTGGGAAACACAGTTACGAGCAAGCTTTTAATTTAGACAAACAGTGAAGGGGTTACGACTGGATGTCTGTAGTGTGTTGGCATCTGTGGTTTGCAGTTAACCTTACAAATCAAGTTCCTTGATTTACATGAAAGAAAAAGAAAAGAAAGAATTAAAATTGAGACAAAAGAAAGTAACTTATGACAAACACAACAGCAACGGCAAGTTAATAAAAACAACAACAACAACAACAACAAATACTGAAAACGAGAAAACAAACAAAAACAGTCTTTAATACCACCGGAGGATAACCATAGGTTTTTGCGTCGTACAATCCGAAGTTTGGTTCGATTTTCTATTTTTCTTTATCACGATTAAAAACAAGCCCTGAAATATTTGTACTTCATAATTTGAACCGGTTTTCTCCACCTTTATATTAGGCTGATTTAGCAACAGGACGGGAACGTCAGGTCAGGTGACGACTACAGGGCGCGCGGAATAACCTGGATTCTGTTCTGATTTGGTATTTGTACTGCGCGCGTCGTCGTCAAGTGACGTTCCCGTTCTCTTGCTAAATCAGCCTATTGCACGGCAGTGTGACCGCCTCTGACAATGTAACAGATTCATCTTCAGCTCAATATTCTCAGTCATTGATTGCCCATTAAAGAAACAGACTTTCTATGGAGAACAGTAATTTGCAGGGCATGGCGCAGTAGTTTTAATTTAACAAGAAATAAAATGCAATCAGCGGCAACAAATATAACACATGAACTACGCATGGTTTGGAACAACAATCTAAAATTTTCTTGACGTTTCGCATGCGAAACGTCAAGAAAATTTTAGATTGTTGTTCCAAACCATGCGTAGTTCATGTGTTATATTTGTTGCCGCTGTTTGCATTTTATTTCTTGTTAAATTGAAATGGCCAAAGAACAAGAGTGTTTATGAGTTTTAATTTAAATATTAGAAAATATGCTAATTATTTCCCACAGGTAGGTGCAGGTACTTTGACCGTCTTTACAACGAAGGAGAAGCCATAGTCCCGGATGAGGAATGCCACTACCAATGCAAATGTCACGTGTCCGAGTATTTCGAAGGCTTTCTTTGTGAGCCACTGTGTCCGGTTTACATTGACCAGGAATGCGGACCCGGAAGGGTGAATAAGCCCAAGATAGTGCCAGCAGGGCCGCCGGAGTTTGGCTGCATGTGCTCGGAGCTGAATTGTGTTCCATCTCTTGGTATTGAAGCGTTTAGACAGCTTTGAAACTCGAGGTTTGTCTGGTTCTTTGCATAACTGACACTGGTTTCTCCCTCACCACCCTTCCCTCCCCCACCCCCCCTGCTAAAATGAATTGGTAGTCCCATCACAGGGTGCCAACCCCTAGCACGTTTTGTAGAATTCCCGACAAGTAGCCCTCCTCATTTATAATAACTAAAAATGCTACGGTATGGTGCGATTTTAAATTTGTTTTAGGTCTGGATTTTCTTTCCATTTGTTTTAGATCACAAAACTGCTTATTCAACAGACGAAAATAACCTGCGGAGATATAAAATTTTTCAACCAGAAGCTCAAATTAACTGTTCACAATGTAGAAAACAAGGAGTATAACGTTTTCCGTTCAATAACAAAAATAGATTTCAAAGATCAAGACAATAATCTAAATGATTTTTGTTTTATTTTTCTCTACAGTGGACATGCTGTTCAGTGACTGTGCAAGATTATAGCTAAATTACAGTGTCAAGTTTATAGTTAATTTAACGGCAGCAAAAAGCAAACTGCCTGCCTTCGTACTAGAACTGTAAAGGGTCAAGTTCCTGTAAGCTCATGAAGGGTGTCCTTCATATGCTTTGGGGTGGGTGGGGGTGGGGGTTGATGTTACAGGTATATTGGTGTGCATTTGTGCATTTTAGAACTACACTCAGGGAGAGGGACAGGAGCTGACCATTTTTACTGATTAGTCACTCAAAGAGTTTCTATTTCTTATTCTCCAGTTAACAAGTAGTCTAAGCGCTCGTGAGATCTACGAATGTTACCACGCCGACATGCATAACGCAATGAAAACGCTTCGGATTGCTCAGTTAACCCATTCTTGTTAACAACTCCGGGGACTCAAACCAAGGGTTTGACTTGTGCTTGAAATCGAAGATCACAGGACACCCAATAATAATGTAATTTCAGAAGAGTGCATTGGTTCAATAGTGTTTATTAGTTTTTCATCTCATGAACAGATACATGGCTATGAAGCAATCGCATGGAACAGTTTCACAAACAGGCTTTTTCTATTATGTTAACCAACTATTTGTAACACTTAAATGATTGATGTCTATTTTTACAATTCTCATTGACAAACAGATGCTAGTTTTGTGACTACAGCGAACTTTATTAAACGGTTTTGTATCACGACCTGTGTAATTATCTTGTAGCCTGTCGGGAGATGCATTTCGAGTTAACCTGTCCATGGCTAAAGCAGCCTACAAAAATAATATGTTGAGCAGGGATCAGTATAAATTGATATACATGCTGTCTTATTTCAGTATAATTGAATCAGAAACATTCTAAAGCCACCTAATTTGCAGTCAGAGAATTTTTTAGAATCCGATTATTTCCAAATTGGATTTCACGTAGTTGCGTTACTTTTAAAAGAACAATCGGACAGCCTTAAGGGCTGAAAACACTAAAGTTAGGAGTTACTTCAGGGTTATTTTAACCTGAAATTCTTAACTTGCTTGTTCTTTACCATGTCCGTCTTCTGAAGGTAATTTCTTTTTGTTTCCAGTCTTTGCTGTTAATTTACACCTCTTTCGTGCTTTCAAAGGCGTTTTTAAACCTTCCTAACAATGGATAAGTCTTAAGGTTTACATTAGTGTGATTTCTGTTCTGTTTAATTATATATACCTTTAAGATACCAGCTGCAGGGCTTCGTCTTCCAAGGTTTTTCCTTCTAAAATATAATGGGATAATTTCTATTGGTTATGCTGGAATTTCTCTTTAACAGTACTTTTTGTGTAATATTAGCAACATTATTTCTTTGGCTCGTTCTACTAACAGCAAAGAAAGCACTGGAGTTTTGACATCAGGATCAAAGGTTATAAACTTCGTCGTGGCTGACTAAGACATTTTCATATTCTATTTCTAGGTATTAATTAATAATAACTGGAATTGCAATAGCTTGCAATGGAGGGTCATCCTGGCGGACATCATTTCAAACAGCTTCATGCATTTTGCATTTAAAATTTTAAAATTTTTGCATCTTCTTTCGTGAACCTCTTACAGTGTAATGCTCGCGAGGTTAAAAAATGTCTATAACGACAAATTACTGACCAAGTGCTAGACACTACTTGAGCTTTGCACATGTGACCAGTTATCCGGTAACGTCAATATCCGTTTACTATTTGAAACGAGACTATGAAACAAACATTGTACTATCCCCTAAGTTTGTAGTTATCAAAATGCCAAAGGCAAAAAGAATAGTGAAGAGGCTCGCCCATTGCCTTTATTACGATGATCAGATGGCCATAGTCAAGTGAATGATAAACAGGGAATTGTTGCATGAGGGCGTGGATCTGTCAAATCGTCCGCCCATTTCTCAACTAGACTGGATTGGTTAAATGGAACGCTACCAAAACAACACTGATCTCAGTGTTCGTCTTAGTCATTTTTATAAGATAACTGACACACTAAGCGGACTTCATAGCCTTCAACACAAGCAAATAAATTCGGCCGGAATAAAATTCAGAAGCAGCGTTTCTGGAACTAACCTTTATTCCATTCGCAAAACTTTTGAATTGTCGTTGAATCACGTCGCCAAGCGCATGAAGTTTGTGTTACTTGCAAACTTTTCGCAGTCTTTTACTTTCGTGATGACTGATTCCGACCACGAATTCCTGCACTTTCCCGTCAAAGTCCTTTTGAATTAATTAATACACTCTCCGTCTTTCAGCGATAACCTTTTCCTTTCCTTTCCTAGAATATTTATAGCACTAAATGTTTTCGTCGCTTTGCTCTGCGGATTTTGTGCCCGGCACGAGTCTGTGCTTTCATTCCAACGGCTCGTGGTTTACAAACTTTTCTCGTGTGCTCCGAACATCCCAAGTGGGTTATTAACCCTTTAAACGCATGGAAAGTGTGTCTATTGCTTAATTATCTCATCTTGATCCAAAGTCTATAATCTATGTAACGCATGCCTGAGAAAATTTGCGTGAAAACAAAAGTTGTGTCAGATGTCAAGCATACCTTCCTTAGTAACATCGGAGGACAGCCATGGCCAAAGTTTCTCATCTGTTTCATTCATAAACAAAACATAGCGTCAAAGAAAGAAGCAAGTCATAAAACATAAAGCATGCTGGAGTTAATTTTCGTAAAAACAATTTATGTCAGGTAACACTTCCGCTGAGGAAAGCATACCTTCTTTAGTGACATCGGAGGACTTCCATGGCCAAAGTTTCTCATCTGTTTCATTCATAAACAAAACATGGTGTCAAGGAAAGAAACAAGTCATAAAGTATAAAGCATGCTGGAGTTAATTTTCGTAAAAAACAATTTATTTCAGGTAACACAGCTGAGGTAAGCATACCTTCTTTAGTGACATCGGACTGCCATGGCCAAAGTTTCTCATCTATTTTATTCATAAAAAAAAAGAAAAAAAAAACGTGGCATCAGGGAAAGAACCATGTCATAACACATAAAACATGCTGGAGTTATAAAACATGATCGATAACACACATCATGGCAACCAAATGAAAATGAAAATCAAAAGCACACCTTCCTTAATATCTGTTGCTTTCCTCTTACTCCAGGGCCAATCAAAAAATTGTTGATCTATTTACAATCCAGAGAATGGCATAAAGAAAAAATAAAAGGAAGACTGTTATTCATTGAACGTTTATATAGATAGCAACAGTGTTTTAAGAAGGTAATTCCCGGTTAATCGTCTACTCCTTATATATATACCTCTTACAAACCGAGTTCGAGGTTCGTACTGTAAGTTACGGACCGAGTTTTTTCTCCTTCGATTTATGGCCCAAGCGCGAAGCGCCCGGGCCATAAATCGACGGGGAAAAAATGAGGATTCGTAACTTACAGTACGGACCGAGAAGACGAGGTTAGTAAGATATTTATTATATCTCTCCTGTGTTTCTGACGGGTTCGGGAACGATTTCTATTCACGCGGAACGGCTTCAAATTTCTGAAACAAGTCGAAAGCAAAATGAGTCAATTTGAAATCGTTGTTAAAAGGTTAGCACGTTTTAGTACACAATTTAAAATAAAAGAAAGTTTTAAACTTTTACTTGCTATGAAAGTTAAGAACACCTGGTGATAAATCACGAAAAAGTTTGGCAACAAAAACAGCTTTAAATTTTAGCGGGCCGTACAGTAGAGTAGGGCCAGCTAAATTAACCACTCACAGCGCGCGTAGTAACTGAGAGATGTAATAAATATATATACAATAAAAAAAAAAAAACAAAACAAAAACATGGCAACAACAATAACAACAACAAAATCATCTTCGTGATCGTCGTCACCATCTTCATCGTCATTATCATCATTAACAGCAACAATGATCAGTTTTCTCCATTCGAAAGAGCCCCTGAAAGATTTTTAATGGAACTGTGGACTTTGGACCGATAAATATGTTTTGGGCCTGGCTCAGCCTCATTTTATCCCGAGCCGCTAGGAGACGGTTAAAATGAGCTCCCAAAACGTTTTTGCCTTGTACTTACGCATTGTCGACACGTTGTTTATCAGTTTAATTTTTAGGCAACCCTTAAGTCCCGGAAAAACAAACGCAACATTTTGACTCAAAATTTGGCAACATTGTTGAGCGCAACATGTTGCGCCTGTTTGGCCACCCTGTTGCGACATGTTGGGTGTTCTAAATCGAACTAGTCCGCAAGCCCTGACGCATCAAAACGATCATGCAATTATGCAACATCCACAAAATGTTGCTTGAAAAATTTGACCATTTTCAAACTTGAGTAGTATTGGCTGTAAGTCTTACAGCCAATACCATCTGGGTTAAACTGACCAATGACTTTCAACGTACCAGACTTATAACGCCATCGAATGACAAACACTATTCACTTGACTCTGAAGATGAGGTTGTCGAAACGTCAGTCACCAACAACAGTTCCTTTCAGAGCTACCCTCAACCGGACGATCACACTATACGAACTACTGATACTCCTGGGTTCAAACCATCTACTATAAAACCCACCATGTCGCAACACGTCTCAACAGGGTGGCCAAACGCGCGCAGCATGTTGCGCCCAACAATGTTGCGATGTGTTGCGTTGAAATGTTGCGATCTTATTGGAACTAAAATTCATTCCCAGTCCTCTCTAGTTGAGATATGCTTCCACTTATCATGTTTGCGCAAACGTACCTTCAAGAGCAGTCTTTTTCTGCCAAGGCCAATCTTGCTTGTGGCCAGGTTTACGTCTGCCCTTTCGTCGACCTGAGATCAAAGCAAGAATGCGATTATAAATATAATATTATAGATACCCTACGATTACATCGTGTTATCATCCACGAGGGACTACCAATATAAATTGACGCAGTTGTCCGTCTAAAAGTACCAGGATGGTTCTCAAAGTGGTCGTTCTAGATTTTACACCACCGCACTTTACCAAACTATGAATTTGAATTTCTAAAAGATACAATGCTCAGCAAATCTCTCTTAAATATGGAATTACCCCCTGGCGTTAATTTTTTATACATTTTTTTTCGGTCTCGCGTCCCGTGTGTGTTTGAGCAAAGCATACAAAAGGACTGTCCACTGCAACGAAGACTGATGATGTGTCATATATGCGAACTGCGTTAGAATAACGAAAGAGAAAGATCAAACTGTTCCCAAGCCAAGTCTTCCTTTATCCCTCCATGAGAAAGTGAAGAAAGGTGAAGCTGTAACAGTGAATTAACTTACCCCAGCGAGCATCCTCTGCCTGTTGTACTAGAAGAGTAAGATAAAGTAAGTACATGAACAAACCAAGACCGTAACCATACGGGTGATACTTAGCAATATGGCTCAAAACATAGACGAAAAATAATGGAAGGTGTCTTCGTCAGAAACGAGGCCAGCGATAAAACCTTTCCGGGGAAATGAGTAATGTAATTGCAAACTTTGTAATGTTTCAATGTTTTTTAAAACTCATCAGTCCCATTGTGTCGTTAGCTTAGTCCTTTTATTCTGTTCTTAGATCTAGTAATCCCTTCATGGGACACCCTGACGAGTAACTAGAGTTCAGGAAAAGAAACAATGAAAAGTAATTCGACAAACTACAGAATAAAAAGATGTAATGAAGGGAGGAAAGAGGTTTGTGAGCATACCATGATCATCATCCTTGTGTCCATTGTCGGTTTCGTCAGCTGAAGGACATGAAAGAAAAACAACACGATCTTCTATCAAGTCCAGTAAGAAAATACGTAAAAAATGCCTCGAATTCAGGTAAATATTGGGATTTATTTTTACAAACCATACATGTCCACCATATTTTGAGAAGATCAGATTATTTCAGAGTACAGACGTTAGATACTCTTTTTAGTAAAAAATATATTTTCAGCTTGTATGCCATTAGAGCTGCAGAAGAGAACAGTAAAAACGTTGTCCTTAATCGAATCGTCACGATATCTGTTTCGTTGTTTGCCCATGGATTTTAGCAAGAGAATTGAGTTTAGATATATAATTCAAACAATCAGACGTAGGAAATGAAAATTTGCGATTATAGTTTAACTCACCAAGCACGACAAACGACGCCAACAGAAAGCAGAGGAACATCAAAAACAACTCAAGTTTCATGTTGCAGTTGGTTCTCGTTTTTCTGTGGAGATAAAAACGAGCAGTTTTTCCAGAATATGTTTAAGTTTAATAACGCAAACCACAGTCTTGAATACATGTCAGTTCACGGCACTGTGTCCCTACTGCACAAATTTTTTTGGCCAAGCTTCTGCGAGTAGATTTTAATTTACCTAAACCGGGAAATGAAGTAAAATGAGGCTTTTGCGAACGTCCAAGCATTTTAATATTACACTCGACTTGCCGATTTTGATGGCCTGTAAATTTAGGTGTACCTGGCCACACGTTCCATTTTCACGTATTTTCCGATTATCACAAGTCCGATCTCGATCGCGTTATGCAAAATATTTCACCTAAACGAGTAAATGTTAGAAAACATGATTCATGCAAGGTTAAATGGAGAAAATTATTATTTCCATTCACGTCCATGGAACGAAACTTGTTATCTCTTCGTTGACAAGAAGAGAAGTTGCGAAAAAGGATAATTCCATTTTTACTGTTAACTGAATCAGATTTAGAATTATGTTAAGAGTTTTAGACTGCAACCTCTCGCACCCAGGGCAATAGATCGCCAGTACAAACGCCTAATCTTGTTAAACGAAAAGCAAAACTGATCTGCAATCTTCCACGCCAAGTATTTTTTTTCTGTTGTCCATCCTTTTTTAACAGTTTTGTATTCTTGTTTAATGAGCTTAAAAGTAAGAGAATAAAATCCCTAAAATAGGATAACACAGTCCTTGTAAACAAGGCATTTAAATTAAACCTAACTCTAAGAGATACATACCAAAATATCAAGTCCCGTTTTGCCCAGGCCTCGATTCCAAATGAGTCAGTTATCGGATGCAATTTACACTGATATGGGATTTGTTGCACACCTGCCCTTATTTTACTGACGTTGTTCTTATGAGTTAAATGTCATTCGCTACAAATAGCGGAATTGTTTTGCTAGGGCGGGGAAAATGAAAGTCTTATTTCTAGAGTCCAGGCATTTCATAATCAATATAATCTATTCTCTTTGAATAACCAGGAGCTTTTTCCTATGGCTCTGACTTTTTTGTCCAGTTTCTGGATCCGGATAGAATCAAGAACACGATGAACGTGACAATAACTTGTGTTGGTGTTGGAAAAGGGAGTGACAAGAATTTAAAAACTGTACTTGACCAGTTCAAGCAGGCGGAAACAATTATTCGTTTAAAGACAAATGTTTGCTGTTAGAAAGAAGTCATATAATTTGTTTAAACGTGCTAATTTTTAAACATCAGTTTCCTAAAATCCTACAACGTGGAGAACTATAAATAGATAATACTATCTGCAACGACAAACATTTGAAAGGCTTCCACTTTTTGTTTCCTTGTGTGAGAGGAAAACTTTTAGTCATCCATTTTGTCAGAAACAATAATTTGAAAAGGAAATGTCAGCACAAACAGGTTCAATAACGGAAAGAAAACATAACAATGCAAATATTTTAATTTTTTAGATTGCTCGCAATTTAGCGTATTAAAGCAATTTGAAACTCAGAGTTGTGTTATCTCGGTTGAAAGTTGAATATTTTATGTTTTTGAAAAGACTTTTTCCTTTTTTCTGGAAAACCTTTCCAAATGCACAGAAAATTTACAGATAGATATTTACAAAGCATATTATGCAATCTCAAAATTGATCAGAAGCCTATTTTGCCTCATGAAGTGATCGTACAGTATGTACATTTTAAATTCAAATTTAAACTCGGATTCATACATATGCCCGCTGACTTTCTCGCTATTTTTTCCCTCAGTCCAAAATTACCGCTAGCTGCGCTTTCTTTTCGATGTGGAAGTTAAAAATTTTTAATTCTTATGTTTATGTTAGTCTAGATTAGTTGTTATGTTCCTAAGTCCTTTCAATATGGTTTGGTAAATAAAATATCCAATTATTACCGCAAAGAATACAAACAAAAAAAACGCAATAGACATTTGATGTCAAAAGGGAATAAACATCATGAAAGGAACACGATGGATCGAGTGAGAATAAAACGCAGATGGCCACGGCACGACTGTTATCAATGTAAATTCAGCTCCACTGGACTGCTACCCGGAGGTAACACAGACAAGAAGTCGACGTGTCATTCTTAAGCCACGCCAGTTTCCTTACAGATGATACACCTAGGAGAATAAACACTCGCCGATGAGTTCGTAACTAATTCGTTGAGGAAGGAAAATTAAAATTCTGGACTCAGGGCTAGGGTCACTGTGAAAGCAAAGTGCCCATGAACACAAAAAAGAAAAAAAGAAAAAGTTAAACTATATATGCATGAGTTTCTACTCTTTCAGTTTTACTGTGGTGTGTATGACATATTGAAAGAGCCTCTTCTAAATGTTAATTTTTTGTTTGAAATCTTTTTTTCACCTGCACTATGCGGATGTGATCGATGCTTGTAAAAATGTTGCTGCTGTACATGAAATAATAATATGGTAATAAGCACTTAAGGTGGCTCAAAACAGTAATATTTCCGTGACACGCCTGGGCTCTAGCGCGCACTTTAGCGCAAGGCATCACGCAATCACCCGAGGGGTCACGCGAAGTAGTTAGAAAATGCGGGTTGTGGGCCAGCCCGTGTCCACAATCCCAATTTACGGACCACTTTGACCTTGGGTTTTTGCCTGAGCTCTCAAGGTCAATTTTTTGACCACTTTTTACCACCACCAACCCCCGATTTTAATTTTTGGACCACTTTTTGACCTTGGGAACTTGCTTTTAAGCTCCCTTTACTAGATTTAGATTTATATATATTGTATAATTTTGTCTCTTAATTATATCTAAGGGGGCCGCTGTAATTGGCTAAGCTGTAGCGGCTCCCCTGGCCATTTTGCTTTTTGTTTTTTGTTTTGTTTTTTTTTCTTTATGTGTAATGGTAGGCCGAAGCTTAATAAATAAATAAATAAACTCTCATTTTCTAACTAATGCGAGAAAAAAAAAAAAATAAAAAAATAAAATAAAATAAAAAAAAATTAGGAGACTGGAGGCAACATTGTATCCCTGGGAACTATCATCAACTCTTCTCTCACGAATCCTCTCAGAGGACCATCCTTCAGATAGTATAAAACCGCTTCATTTTTCTTTACCAAAGATCTTTCAATCCTATAAACTTTTAATGACCAGTTTGGGTCTGTGGCTCGCTTCCTTTCACCTTCAAGCTCACCAGCGGCGTAGAGATATCTCACATTCACTGAAGAATCGAGTCTCTTCTCTTTGAAACCAACGGGTCTCGCTTTAGCTGATGCGAATCTCGTTGAACTCTTCGCATCAACCACCCTCTCCCTTATCGCGTCAACTGGTCTCTCTCAGAGCTTTCACTACTTTCGGAAGCCCCTCCACCCATTCTCTCGATCTCTCAGAAGATTTCATGTTCATCTCCTTACTGTATTGATAACTGAAAAGACGCTCACTCAATGTTCGATTGAAACGTTCAACAATCCCCTGATCTCGGTGAACGTCCACAATTCCCGTTCTTATTCTGACATCGTGCTTGGTCATTTCGTTCTTTACATCACCCATGAATTCGCGTCCGGGATCAACCTGAAGAACATCGGGCCACTTTAATGGTCCTATATAAATTTTATGAAAAGCCCTGGAAACTTCCGAAGACTCCTTCGAACTCAATGGTTCCGCGGCCTTGAATCGGCTCGCGACACCAACGACCGTCAATGCGTACTTGTAAACCTTCCTTCCTCTCGGGAGTCTGTCATGAGGAAGGAAAAGAAGATCAGCTTGATGAACTGAATTCGGGGATATAATATCAAATTTCGGTCTTGGGATATGCTTAGGGGCTGGCAGATAAATCTGCCAGATGGCCTGCTTCATCAACCAAAGTTTTGCGACATCTTCAGAAACTCCTGCCTCCTGACTTCTTCACCGCGTCTAATCCTTTCCAGAAGCCCTTCGGGCTGTAATAAATATTTGACAACTTATGCATTTTTTCTACGAAGTTAATCACAAGAAATGACTCGCCGCCAATCCGATTGCCAAGGCTGAAGCTCCAACGTAGATGATTTCTCCCTGTTTTTGCTGAACACTCGGTTTGTAAAAGTCTGAAAACTGGGGTTCTTTTAAATCCATTTGATCTTGATGAGTCTTGTTATATAACTTTAACGCGTAGTCAGTGTTTCCGAAGTTCTCCTTCGCTTCATCCTTTATCTCATGATTAGTAGCTATCCAATCGAGAAGTTTTGTTCTATTCTGTTGATACTTTTGACATTCTTTTTCATACTTCTCCACAGCGAGATCGTGTCGTTTTTTTCTTCACCAGCTGAATCACCACTCAGATACTTCGCCAGATAATTTCCGCCAACGAATGCCGTGGCATTTATAATCGCTCCAGCAATTAATATTATTCATGTTTAACAATATTAAAATTATTTTTTTCATGCATCAACTTCACATTTTTCACGCTCGATCTCCTCTCGCATTTTTTTTTCTTAATATCATCATAAACGCTTCAACAAGCAGACAAAAAGTGGTAAATCTCAAAGAGGAAACGGTTATTTCACTAAGCATTTTATTTAAGTCGGTGAAATCTTTTGATCCTCGAGATAGGTTTTAGTCGCCAATGCCCCAGCCACAACGACCGTGAATTTCACGTAATTCATTAAATTCACTGAAGGATCAGACGTCGTTGGCTCTTTCACAACTTTTTTCGCGATCCATCCATATCCAGCCGCCAAACCGGTTATCGTCGCGGCATCAGTCAGTGTTTTCACGAGCTTATTATCAGACATTTTAGAATGAAATATTTCATTATATTACATTCTTCAATCACTAATCCATGGGTTTTATGTTGTTACGCTGCACTTTTACTTGACACTGTTGAGGGGCCGCTGTCATGCCATCGACCATGCCCTCTTTACTAACACCACTGTCATGCTGTTGCCCATGCTGCTGCTTCGGTTTACTGCTGGACGCGACCAACGTGGTAGCTGTCGCCATAATATCTTTTCTCTTGTAATATAATCCTACGAGAGAAACAACGACACTCACCGCTGAAAGAACTTGTTTGAGTGAGAACTGGGTGACAGCTGACGAAGACTGTGCCTCACGCGCGTCAACGCCTTTCATATCTTTTTGTTGAGCTTGCTGCCGTGCCTTTCTGTTGAATTCTGCGAGTCTCTTTCCAGCCGCAATTCTACCAGGATGTTTTTGGGGCATTATTCTTTTCACCGTTGCCTGGTTTCACTGACGCTTCTTCTTTAACTTTGACATCTCCTTCTTCAATGGTTTCTTCTTTTGGCGGTTGAGGTTCTGCCGCAACTTCTTCTATATCCATTTTATTAAGAAATCACAACTTCTTCTTTATTACCACTCGAATTTGCACTTACTTTGAAATTTTACTAGGAAAGACTCACAAACTTGGCTAAGTTACTGATGTTCTTTTCAGCAGTATCGACAGATTTTCGCTACATGGCCATTATTAAAACTCAGAATACAGAAAACAGTCTGCAAAGGTCTAGTAGACTAATCATGGAGCGAATTCAATATGCTACGTCGCTTCCCTTTGTCCTAATTTTATAACAAAATACTACATCTTATGAACTGATGAAAGACAACACATTTCGTAAACTGTGTAATATAAATTCCTTGCTAGAAGACGGAGCTGGAAAAGTTCTTAAACGGGGATGGAACCAGAAATTGCAGACTTGATTGATCAGTTCACGATGACACTGCATATTTACATCCACTCACCGTGCTGAAATACTGTCTGGTCGCGTTTCTGGCTTTGCTAACCAATATACACCCTTGAAAAAAGCAACATAGATTAAAAGACTCATACAAACAAACGTAAAGTACTAATTACCTAACAATGAAGTGCCTTCTGTGCCTTCCTTTGGGAATACGGTTCCGCCACACCTTCGCTGCACT